CCCCAAAACCCCAAAACCCCGTGATAATAAAAATCCTATAAAATTCTCAAAATTCTAAATATATATATATACTATTTAACTTTATTAACAAATTATAATGGAAAAAACCAAAAATTTTAGGCATAAATTGGGATAATTGATTAGGTCTTTAGATTAATTTGGGCACCCCATAGCTTTCACATATTAAAATAGTTCCTCCTTTAAAACTACTTTTGGTGGTATTATTACTATATGCGTTTGATTGACAATTCTTACCTTTCTAATATCAGAGATATTAAAGGTAATTGATAGAAAAATAACAATTACAAATTCAACCTCATTAAGAAATCTAGTTATTGATCAGAGAGAATTGATCATGAGTAAATAGGAATTCGATATAGGATTTTTAGTTGATCTCATTAATTTGCCTGTAGAACAAAACATTAACATTGATCAATATGTAGAGGTAAGCATTATGCAATCAAAAATCACTATTACAAACGCAGATTTCAATTCAGAACTTATTGAGCTACCTTCATCTAGATGTCAAATCGGAAGATTCAAAGGAGAGTTAGCTTAGACTAAAACTTTTGATATAACCAACAAATTTAATTGCATAACTAATACTAAAATTGCATTTTAAGGGTCATATTATACTGAAAAAGCTTAATTGCTTCAAATATTAGTTAAAAAATGTAATCAAAAGAATCTAAATGCTAAGAATAAAAATATAACTTGCGCCTCTAAAAAGGAAATGGACGATATTTTAAACCACATAACATTAACCATTCTAATGACAAATTAATATATTGATGTGAATGAAAAGTCTGGAAATCCAATTAAAACGGTCTTGAAGAATTTTTATGCAACAGTAAAGTCTGATCTTTCACTTTCGTATGAACTAAGGATAGGAGAAAATTATCTTATTTAAAGCACTAATTCATTATCCAACTTGCTTGGTTAATAAAACTTGACATACTACACTATAAGAGATGATTCTATGTAGATAGGAGATAATACTAAGTCGGATACATTGATCTCATTCCAGATACTTCTTGATGATGTGGTTACCTCGACTAACTTAGAATTATTTACATTATCAGATGCTCTATCAAATACTGGAGGTATCATTGGAATTATCACAATCGTTGTTTAAGTATTAGTTTATAACCTGCAAGAATATTTGTATTACCAATCAATGATTAAACAGTAATTTTAAATCACCTCTAATTTACTTATGAAATAGCACTAAAATGTAAGGATTGAATAAAACTAAGAAAATTAAGAACTACCATCCAATTAGAGAGACTAAAATTTGTAAAAAGCAACTAAACTAGGAAACTTAATTAATGACTTAAAAAATTGAGTTCCCTTTAATTACTCTATACTTGAATTTTACTTCATCAAATTAAAACAATGCTTTTGTAAAAGGAAAAACTAATAAATACTATCTTAAAGGATTTTGTTCAAGTAGGCTAAACAAAAACTAGATGAAAAGTTTGAAGTTATCAAAGTATTAAAGAATCACCAAATGCTAAAATTCATAAAATAAGTATCTCTTGCCAAATATTAGAGAAAACTTATGCCTTATTTCAAGCAAAATTTAATTAGAATAAAAGATAAGGACAGTATTGATCACATCTAAAATCAAACTAAAATTTAAGATAAACTTATACTCTAAAATAGATCTAATGAAGAGCATTTGATAACTTGGAATGATCTAACTAAGAATTAAAAAAGTATTACCAAATTGTACTTGGCTTAGGTTATCCATAATATAAGTTAAAATGCTTTTGATAAAAGAATATTGAAAAATCTTGATTAAAATGTTTCTAATAAGTAAAATAGCTAGATTAAAAATAAAATAGGAGAAAAAGCTATTCTTTTTAGGCTTCAAGAAAAATATAATGACCAAAATATAGATAATGGCGAAGATAAGAAAAATTCTGAAAGGTATAATATCGGTATTAAAGAAGAAGTTTAGTTTCAAACTTAAATATAGGAAAATTTTACTAGCAATAATTAGATTGATACAACAAATATGAATTTGCAAGAGGATGATAGTAATTTCTTTAATGAATTTATTGAAAAAGAATTTAATATTTGATGGAATACTATCAAATAATTTTTAATTTTTTAAATTCCTATTATTGATAATCTTTAATTCAATGGGGTTTTGGGGTTTTGGGGTTTTGGGG